CGTTTTCAACCCAGTTGTTAACACTAAATTACTTGCTAACGAAAAATTGGTCGAAGTCACGCGATCGTATTCTAAGAGCCAGTGGTTGCTATATATTTATGCTATTTTAAAAGTCAGTTAAAGAAATAATCGCACTCTCTGCTTGACCTTTGGGGCAAGGCGTTCATACGATCAAACGATTTCTACGGACATTTCTCTTTCTTCATTGCCTTATCATGGGGGTTTCTGTACGCAATGAAACTGAAAGCCGAAGCTGGTTGTTTCAGTCTTCAGTTCCTCTCAGATACTTCAATATCCATTTACGCAGATGCTTCCAATGCCAAATTTACCGTTCGCCGAACTTTGCCGCTTTCCACGAATATGCCGAGAGTTACATGCCGGTTATTTCAGTCATCCGTTCCTCTTAGATACCTCAATATCAGTCTCGTAGGTACTTCCGATCCGGTGCCAAATTTACCGTTTGCCGAACTTTGCTAGGCGGTTTCCGCGAGTATGCTGAAACTAGGTTTCGTAGGAATAAAAGAAACCCCGTCCACTTGTTAAGATAGGATCACTTAAATGAATTAATTATACATTTGCTTTACTTGTTCGTTAAGATCCTGGGGTGGGTCATGCTTTCGAGCGTTAAATGATGGAAAATCATACCACTGATATGAATAGAGCCTTTTTTTCTAAACGCTTTGGCTTTCTTTCTGCCTTTTGTCCCTGTGAGCAAATACTGGACTTTCACACACCACACGCACGATGGATCAATATCAGTATCTGGTTAGGGGAGGGGTGGGTGGGCAGTTGCCCAGATACTGATATTGATCCCGCACGATTTAGCTGCATCGATTAGTATGAACCCTTTTTCGACCCTTTCAGAAATTTTTGGCAATTTCAAACTGTCCACCATCATGATATCTGACTTCCAATTTTACGTCATTTTTTTAATTGTAGATGTCATGCAATTACATCCAATCAAATTACACGGGGAAAGTTCCACTAACGAGCATGCCTATACTTGCCGAAACGAAGAGAAGTTTTCTTTTAACTTACAATGTAAAACAATCATTCAAAATTCTTTTACCACATGCTCTAAAATCACCAGATTGTCGATTTTTTGTGTCTTCTTAAACTGGGTCTCTCTTTATCATAATAGACATTCTGAACAGGCCTTCGAATGCTGACATGTCTAAGATTACTGTATGAACTAACTGAAATTTCAAAATTTCCTTAAGCCAATTCAATAAACAAATACGCACCCGCAAGTTAAATTTTGTTCGAGTTTCGACAAGTCTAACCAGTTTTCGTGTACGCTGATACACTCTCTATGCGCAATTTAAGCACCCGTGCCGAATTCTCACCGGTCATTTTTACGCTTCTGTAAATAAAGAAAAAGTAATTTGTGATTTCTGGCATATAGACACTAGCACATTATTTTTTTCAGTTCTTGCCGTGAAACTACGGAAAGAGCAGAAAACGATAGACACCTCACAATCAATTCATGATTACGCGCGATTAAGGAAAACAAAAGTTTTCTTGCAGAAATGTCTTAATAGGTGTGATTGGCGCATCATTAAACTTCGAGGGAAAGTTTTTTCTTCGAAGAAAGAGGATTTTACTGTTTAAATCAACAATTATGTAGATCCAAAGATATGATATTTTTAGACGTTAAACATCTCAAATTTTCCATTGAAAAATATCTCAATAGATGTGATCAGCACATCATGGAGGAATTTCTTTTTTCTTTAAGAAGAGAGCATTTTACTGTTTAAATCAGCAACTAGGCCGAAAAGGGCCACTAAATTTCGAAGCGAGTAAGCTGCTTACCTTGAGTTATTCAACAGAATGATTAATTGGTAGAACGGTAGAAGGGTGGAATGATGGATCAGCGGAATATCTTAAGACGCGAAATGACGGAATACCCTAACACGTGGAATGTCCCCAAAAAGGGAATTGCAATAAAATAAGAAAATTAAAAGAAGCATAGGTGATCAATGTTGGAGCCCAGAGGATAGGGGAATCATGAAGCTTTCGAGCCTGCCCCTTTAAATTATCATTATTATTGTTATCATCATTATTGTTGTTCATATTATGATTTGTTACCATTTAAGGATTGGTTGAATGTGAATTAGAGAATTTATTTTGGAATCATCTTTCTCTTGTGGAACTCATAAATATGTGGGATGCGGAAGGTTTTCTGTTCTGCCTGTGAGACAAATATTCTGCAACACTACCTCCTAGCGTCATTATACAACCTCTAGTTCTTTTCAGTGCTATAAAAATTGTGCTATATCTGTACACGCATGCATTCTTTGACCGTCTAATTTTTTTCGCTGTCCGTTTTGGCGCGAAACCCACATCGTTTACCAACCTGATGCGTATGCTTGAAGATATTCACAACTGTAGTTTTTGATAACAAACTTTTGATGAATTCGGTTTCCGCGTCTCTGTTCCGGTCCTTGCCGTATTTCTTCATTGCCGTAAACAAACAAAGATTGGCTTGCCTTTGAACTTCTACTTTTGACAAGTTTCTAAATCGTGGCATCGTCATTATTTCATATCCTCTACATGTAAGAGGCAAGCGCAATACGTATGATAAAATTGCGTCTAAGGAATTTTCCGGTATGCATGTTATTAACTGATTAAGATCCCAATTCATAAACGATGAGAGAAATAAACGTTAAGTTTTCAAGGACAGCTCATTTGAATGAATATAGAACCTAGAGATTCAAACAATGGGCTTTTCCAGGGATTTTACTTAGCCGCGGGAATGGGAAATGGAAATGGGAAGTGAGAAATGAAGAATGAGGAAAAGGGAAAAGAGAATAAGGAATGGGGAATAGGGAATGGAAAAAGAGAACGGGAAATGAGGAAATATTTTTGCTCGCTCGAAGCTGGTCTAAACGTGTCACGTTAACAAATATTCCTTAGCTAAAAATGGGGGATATCCGAGGATATTTTGCCACTGAAAGTTTTTGAAAGAGAACGTGGAAATCGTTGAAAAATATCTGTTCCTCATTATAAACAGTAGATCTTAAACGAAAAAATATTAAAAATACCCATTTTCAATTTTCCATTTTATTTTTCCATTTCCCATTCCCTACTTTCCATTCCCCATTCCTGATTTTCCATTCGTCATATTCCTCTTCCCCATTCACATTCTCGTTTTCCATTTCCCATTCCCCATTCTCCTTTCTCCATTCCCCATTCTTCATTCTCTATTCTCCATTCTCCATTCTCCATTCCCCATTCTGCATTCTCCATTCCCCATTCTCCATTCTCCATTCTCCATTCTCCATTCTCCATTCTCCATTCTCCATTCTCCATTCACCGTTCTCCATTCCTCATTCTCCATTCTCCATTTCGCATTTCACATTTCTCATTTCCCACTCCCCATTCCCCATTCACCATTCCACATTCCACATTCTTCATTCTCCATTCTCCATTCTCCATTCCTCATTCTCCATTCTCCCTTCTCCATTCCCCATTCTCCATTCCCCATTCTCCATTCCCCATTCTCCATTCTCCATTCTCCCTTCTCCCTTCTCCCTTCTCCATTCTCCCTTCTCCATTCTCCATTCTCCATTCTCCCTTCTCCATTCTCCATTCTCCATTCTCCCTTCTCCCTTCTCCCTTCTCCATTCTACCTTCTCCATTCTCCATTCTCCATTCTCCCTTCTCCCTTCTCCCTTCTCCCTTCTCCCTTCTCCATTCTCCATTCTTCCTTCTCCATTCTCCATTCTCCATTCTCCATTCTCCATTCCCCATTCTCCATTCTCCATTCTCCGTTCTCCGTTCTCCATTCTCCATTCTCCATTCCCCATTCCCCATTCCTTATTCCTCATTTCTCATTCCTTATTCCCCATTCCTCATTTCTCATTCTCCATTCTCCATTCTCCATTCCCCATTCCTCATTCTCCATTCCTTATTCCTCATTTCTCATTCCTTATTCCCCATTCCTCATTTCTCATTCTCCATTCTCCATTCTCCATTCACCATTCTCCATTCTCCATTCTTCATTCTCCATTCACCATTCTCCATTCTCCATTCTCCACTCTCCACTCTCCATTCTCCATTCCCCATTCCCCGTTCTCCATCCTCCATTCCTTATTCCTCATTTCTCATTCCTTATTCCCCATTCCTCATTTCTCATTCTCCATTCTCCATTCACTATTCTCCATTCTTCATTCTCCATTCTCCATTCTCCATTCTCCATTCTCCATTCCTTATTCCTCATTTCTCATTCCTTATTCCCCATTCCTCATTTCTCATTCTCCATTCTCCATTCACCATTCACCATTCTCCATTCTCCATTCTCCATTCTCCATTCTTCATTCTCCATTCTCCATTCACCATTCTCCATTCTCCATTCTCCATTCCCCATTCTCGATTCTCCATTTACCATTCTCCATTCTCCATTCTCCATCCTCCATTCTCCATTCTCCATTCTCCATTCTCCATTCTCCATTCTCCATTCTTCATTCTCCATTCTCCATTCTCAATTCACCATTCACCATTCACCATTCACCATTCACCATTCACCATTCACCATTCACCATTCACCATTCACCATTCTCCATTCTCCATTCACCATTCTCCATTCCCCATTCCCCATTCCCCATTCCCCATTCCTCATTCGACGTTTTCCATTTCCGCTATAATTAACATCCTGTGGGACTGCCTTTCGGACAAGACTTCCAGTTGAGAGATAATTAATTCTTTTGGCCTTGAGCAGGTGGCATTTAGCTTTAATTAATTTTATTTTTATGTATTCGTTGCATGTCTTCATTTATAAATCACAAGGCGCTCTGTTTTCGTCTGAGTCACATCTGAGAGGCATGACAGCAGTGACATGAATGCGCATGCAAACCTTTCTAATCTTTTGTTTACCAGAAGTAGTCTATCATTCTTTGACTGGCCATAATCGGACATTTTTTTTTTTTTACTAGTCTGAAGGTGGCATCCGGTCTTGTTTGGCCAGATCATGCGACCTGGTCTCGAGACCTGGTAGGCTGCGCTGGTTCCCAGTCTGCGGGTCTCATTGCGCATGTACCAAATCGGAGCATGAGCCTCGAAGGGTGCGTTTGCTGGAAATTGGTGATATACAGCGAGTGTAGATTATTTTACTCGGTATAAGAGGTGAGAGAACGACAGATTGCGTCTTCAACTTGTTTCCGGTTTTTTCTACAGTTTCTTTTCCTTCATTTTTAACCTTCAAGAAAATCATTGTTTCCTTTATTCACATCTGTTTATTGCATGTTCACTTTAAAACCAACTGTTCAAGCTTTCGATTAATCACAGATACATCTTCATACGATTGTGATAGCTCAGAAAGGCTGCGAAAAAGCGGTACAATCATTTTTGAAAATGGTCGTCACGTTTGAATTAAGCCGGTGTGGGCATATATGTACTAACTACTAGTCTGGTTATGGAGAAATATGATTTCCATTGCTACATTTCACTTCCACACGGTCAGTGATACGCGACGGTTAACTTGACGGTTTTACATCAAGCTTGAAACACGAACAAAAAACAATTCGAATTTTAAAACTTGGAGCAATTATAGAGTGTGCTATTAGCTGAAGTGCATTGGTAATTTTAAAAAAGTGTGCTTAAATCTAAGCTACGCATGTTTTGTAACGTCGCCAACACATCAGTCTATACTTTGCGATCCACAATCGTTTGTGACTTCTTATCGCGAGAGAAACGTTTTAAAAATTCATTTGTCTTTATAACCAAGGTGATCAACACATCTTTTAAAGCAGATTTGAAGGAAGCATCTTCACTGTAAGGTCTGAAGGCTAATCTAAAATTATCAGGGTTGTTGTTGGTAGAGTAGTATATCTCAGTCTCTTGTGACAGATAATTATCAGAATAGTTTTACATGATAAGTTGAATTTAACAGATCACAGAAGAGGTCAAACTGTTGGAAGAACATTAGGGACACACTTGGCCTGACCTCTTGTGCCCTCCCCCTCCCCCCTTTTATTCATACCACAATTTGACATCATCTGTGATCTATTACTGAACTGATACATGGAGACATGGAATTTTTATGTTAAGGTGATTCCTCAGTTTTGCTCTGTGCATCCTTTAATGCTCATTAAAAATCACGTAATTAAGGGAGTGAGTGTACATAAATTCCGAGGTATAGTTTTCAATCCATGGATCAGGTAAAGATGTACGATAGTCTGTAGCTCCTAAATGAGACATGTATCTTTTTTTTCATAATTTCAGTGTACAAGATATCCCCTTTGAATTGGGGAAATTAAAAAAAATTATATGAAGGGAAAAAAGATAAAGCTAAAGTGTGCAAGAAGCCCATTACTTGAGGATGCAAATTATGACCTAGAAAGGAATGAATTAAGGAACATTCTTAACTCAATGTCATTTAAATTTGCATGATTTTCCCACAAATTATAGATCAAGTTTTTCAATACCCTTGAGACTTTTTACTTATCAAGTCTTTTTCAAGTGTTGATGATACTGATACAAAAACTTAATAGATTTTTGTGGGAATGACAGATACATGTGACATTTTTATATGATGTTGAAAATTGATTCCAATCTTCTATGTGTCTACTTGTATATACCTTTAAGTTTGTGAATTTTTTTCCTTTATACTCTACTAGTCAACCTGAGTATCTTACAAGTTATTCTTTTTAATATTACACAAAATGTATAGCAGAACAGTCTTTGATGAGGCAGGATCTTTCATAGTTCTTCACCTCCCTGTTTTAAGTTAAAGAAAAAACTAGTTTTGGTTACAAAGTAGTATTTGATAGCCTTACATGTGCCTTGACAGGTACTCTACCTTGTTGCCTCAAAATAGCCTTTAGTCATGTTAGTTGTTTAGTTCAAAATGTAAAGTAAGGTGAGCCATTATGAACTCTGATGAAAAAAAAACCAACCTGAAGCAAGGGAAAATACAAGTAACTTATTTATTATATTAAGCTGGCAACCTCCAGTAGGTGCCCACCCTGATTAAGTGCACACCCTGTAGGTAGGAAAAGTTAATAAGCACCCAGCTGTGAATAAGCATCTCAAGCCCCACGAAAAACTGAAGTGCACAGGAGAAGTATTGTTTCAAAATGAACTTACTACTTTCTGATTGGCAAGAAAAATTTAATTACAGCCAAGCCTCTAATAAGGGCTCTCCTCGAATAAGTGCCCCTTCTCAAGGTCCACAAATTTACATGTAACAAGTAATCAGGGCACTAAATAGAATAAATGTAGAAGCTAAGTCTTGGCTGGAGTTACAGTTGTGAAGCATAACCAATGCAATTCTGTAATTTTTTTGACACTGAATAGAAAATTTCCTTATTCAGTCATTAAAGTGAGTTTGCTGTTCATTTGATCTTAACAAATCCATTGCTTTAAGTGATTTTTGCTATTTACAATGTGGGCACCAATACTATATGTCAACAGATGTAAAATAACAGGAATTTGTATAAGGGCTATATTTTGCAAAGACACATTTGCATGGATGTGGTTATTTTTACAATTTCATCTTTTCCATTTCAATTTATATGCCTAAATTTTATAGGAAAAGTTTGGAGAAGAAAGTTTAAAGGAAACTCTACTATCAAACTTCAGTTAAATGCGAATAATTCATGGAAAAGTTGTATAACATCTATTTTTAGAGGAGAAAATATGATCCTGGCACATTCAAAATTCTCTACAGTATTCACTAAATTTAGTTAACATGTCAGTTTTGTCCTTTGTGTATTTATGATTAAACATACTCAAAATAAAAATATGTTGTGGGTTAACCAATGGTATGTGGTACTTACCATTCTGTCAAATAGATTAACTTGCCAGTCATTGTAGGCATGTGTTGCTGGCATATTACCATGGGTGGCCTGTACGTTTCCTACAGGAAAACCTATTTGGCTGTAAAAAAGATTACTTATTCATATCTGGTTCAGGATAATCAGCAATGGAGAAATTCTCAGTATCCTCAGTTTCAAACAATAACATTGGTGCTTCTGAGGATTTATAGTAAACTAGTGATAATGAGCCACAGGGATAACTGGTATTGGATATTCAGTGATGTTAATATTCTTAAAATCTTCTTTTTCTTTAAGGATAGCTGGTGTTTCCAAGTATATACAGTATGATGATTAAAATAATGTCATGCTATGCACAAGGTGCTGAATTCTGACATGATTATGACAGTAATTCTCATCATTTACCTTGGGTGGATATTTGGTGTATCAGCAGTTATCTGTGTAAAGGAAATTATAATTCAGAGCTGTACAAAAATAATTATTATAATTTCTTTGTTAGTTACTTGATAAATGTGTGTGTGAACTACTTAACAGTGTCAATATTTGCACTCACTTTTCTGCAAGTTTGACAGATTGAAAGCCAGAATACAGACAGCTACTTTAAGTGGGTTTATATTAAAAATGTAGCTTAGGGAGGGATGAGAGAAGTAGTCATTTAGTGAGGAAGGACTCTGAATTTTAAGCTGGCCACCTTTTTCGAAAATACTGCATAATGATTAATAGTGATAATAGGACAGAATGGTGTCCAATTTGGTCTGTGATCATATGAGTGATTAACAAACTCGGATGACTGGGAAGCGGTGCCTGACATGTCAATCACTTGTAAGATTACTGACAGAATTGGACAACACAAAGTCCTGTTAGCAATTAATCATAACCATTTCAATTTCCAGAAAAAATGTACATTTAGGGCAAACATCTCCAATAAGGACAATGTCTAAAGCAAAAAATTTGGAAATTTGCAAGTGTTTTTTTTTTCAGGGTAAGTGGTTGTTGCTCTAGTTATTGTGATCAATTCTGTGATTGGTAGATTTCGCTGAGTGGACTAAGTATGATTGGCTGCTTCAACTGTTGGATTACAGCTGTCTGATTATAAGCAACAGTCTGATTACAACTGTACAGAGTGATTAGTGATATTTAAAGCAGCTGATGCCTCAATCACATTTGAGGAAATTGTAATGGTTATGATTAATCTAGTTACAGTCTTTTTTCTTACCCCTAGGTCCTGTATCTGAATTTGGGACAAGGTGAATGCTACATCTTCTCTATAATGAGTTGAGCAAGAAATAGGTAAGTGTAATTGCTATAGCCTGTGTCAAGTGAAATGTCCTAAATGATGTGCATACATTATGAATATTTATTGAAACTTATTATGCAAGTATGTACATATTGACTTGACAGTGATGAGAAGACTTCTAGTTACTACAGTAACTGGTCATGTACACATGTGCAGGTGTAACAGTGATGAAGTGTTTGAGTATGTGGGTGTCAATGATAGTCCAATAGCCTACTTATACATTAGACAAAAAAATTTGTTTAGGAATTCCCTCTATTTTTAGTGTCTGTATCTGCTTGATGTAAGTGTCTATCCACTCCTAGTTAATTTTCAATGAACATGGGTGTGAAAATTGGGATAATAATGTTGATTATTAAAGGAGTCTGCATCATGCATGGCCTGCTTAACACAGGTCTTACAATAAAAAATTCTAGTGGGACAAATAGGAAAAAATCAGTGGGGTTTTTTTCTTAACCTTAAGTCATGTTCATTTACAATTTACATTATATAGTCATCTCAAGTAATTATGTAAAGGCACATCTCAAAATGAAAGAACAATGATTTATTACAAGGTAATAACACTCCCATGAGTGACCAGGCAGAATTTCTCCTTACAATACTAATTAAATATCAACCAGATAAGTGACAAGAATAAAAAAAAAATTTAAATTTGGGGATAATTAGTTGATCCAATACAAAATTCTCTGAACTAACATTATAAGAATTGATCAGTAGCACGCTTGTCACGTACAAATTGAAAAATCACGGATTTGCTTGAATCTTTTAAGAATTTCTCGGCGCACAATGATCAGATCTGCTTGAGACTTTCCAAAATTGTTACAAATGTGTTAAAGATGGTTTTGGACTAAGCAGAAGCAGAATAAAGGATCTCTGAAAATATTGAATTGGAGCCGAATTGTAAAGTTAGCGACAAAAACATGGCGTCACGCGTAACATGCGTCGGCTTCACTATTCACTGTTTTCCTGTTTTTGCCCACTGAAGCCTCGTTTATAACCGTAAGACTTCACACAGATAATGAAAATAGTTCCTTTTTGAGCAAAGTGGCAACCAAAATCCTGAAAATTTGAGCTAAATCTTAAAATCAACGAAAGTGTTCACCACTTGACGCGTCACGCTTTAAAGCTTAGGAGAGAGAGATAATTTTAAATTCATTTTGCGAGTCATAATTCCTGAGTTACAGAACAATTTAACCTCAAAATGCAATGCAATTTATTTTCGTTTTTTGGTGTTTTTGTCGAAACGTTGTCGAGATATGAGTTTTTTTCTGCGTCCGAAACAGTTGGCGAGCGCTGTGATCTGCCGCGCGATAAAACCAGTCAATGAATTTCCTAATCGCATTGTTTGCGACAAGTGCACTGGAGCATGTCAACTTTGACATAAACAAAATGCTCAAATGACAAGCTAAATTTTGGGACCAAACTCGATCGAATCCGTTAAAAGCCGACGAAAATATTAGCATTTAAGTTCATCCGAAACATTAGGTCTACAATTTTGATCCTCACGGAATATACGCGATCGAATTTATAGCTAAAACAAGCGCGACGCGTTTGTCATTTTGACGGCTTCCATTACTTCCAAATCATCCCAAAGTCTACTTAATCAGTAAGGACTGTTTTAGATTTCCTTATTAAGAAGTAAAATATTACATCAGATGAGGAAATGAGCGGGAAACTTCCTAAGTACATACCGCATGTTTCAAGCATGCAGTCAAGTGCTGTTTGTTCACAAGCACAAGGCCGTGAAATTAAATGCAAAGATTAAGGATTCTAGAGTTCTAGGATTCAGATGTGGCGAGAAAAAAAACCATATTCCTTGAAACACGGTATTAATGCATTTTTTTACAACCAAAAAAAAAAAAAAAAAAAAAAAAAAAATGGGGGCGTGGCTGCATTGCATCATGAGTAATAGAAAATTTGCTTGAAATGCGTCCGAATCGACCGAAATGACATAATTTCAAGATAGGAACCAATTTCCTTCACTTTCCGACTTAATTCTAAAAAGAAATGATTCTTAAATCAATATTTTTCAATCTTACCCCAATGTTACGCTTTTGTACATCAGAACTGTGCTACTGATCAATTGTATAATTGACAGTAAGGAGAATAACAACTTTGATCTGGGAGTTAAAGGGTTAAGCTTCAGAATTAAGTGTACACCCAGCCAGTCACCAGCAGAAAAACCTATTTGGCTGTAATAACAAATCACTTATTCATAACTGGTTCAGGATAATCAGCAATGGAGAAATTCTCAGTATCCTCAGTTTCAAACAATAAAATTGGTGCTTCTGAGAATTTATAGTAAACTAGTGATAATGAGCCACATAGGGATAACTGGTATTGGATAATCAGTGATGTAAATATTCTTAAAATCCTCTTTTTCTTTAAGGATAGCTGGTGTTTCCAAGTATATACAGTATGATGATTAAAATCATGTAATGCACAAGGTGCTGAATTCTGACATGATTATGACAGTAATTCTCATCACTTACCTTGGGTGGATATTTGGTGTATCAGCAGTTATCTGTGTAAAGGAAATTATAATTCAGAGTTGTACAAAAATAATTATCATAATTTGTTTGTTAGTTACTTGGTAAATGTGTGTTTGAACTACTTTACAGTGTCAAGATTTGCACTCACTTTTCTGCAAGTTTAACAAATTGAAAACCAGAAGACAGACAGCTACTTTAAGTGGGTTTATATTAAAAATTTGTCCTAGGGAGGGATGAGAGAAGTAGTCATTTAGTGAAGAAGGACTCTAAATTTTAAGCTGGTCACCTTTTTTAAAAGTACTGCATAATGATTTATAGTGATAATAGGACAGAGTGGAATCCAATTCAGTCTGCAATCATACAAGTAATTAGCAAAATTGGATGACTGTGAAGTGGGCGTGTGATTTGTCAATCACTGATATGATTACTGACAGAATTGGACAACACAAAGTCCTGTTAGCAATTAATCACAACCATTACAATTTCCAAAAACAAAAAGTACATTTAGGACAAACATCTCCAATAGGGACAATGTGACAATTCCCAGTTTTTTGTTTTTCAGGGTAACTGGTTGTTGCTATAGTTACTGTGATCAATTCTGTGATTGGTGAATTTAGCTGAGTGAACTAAGTATGATTGGCTGCTTCAACTGTCCGATTACAGCTGTCTGATTACAGCTGTCTAATTACAGCTGTCCAATTACAGCCAACTGTCCAATTACAACTGTACAGAGTGATTAGTGATATATAAAGCAGCTGATGCAATAATCACATTTGAGGAAATTGTAGTGGTTAAGATTAATCTAGTTACAGTCTCTCTTCTTACCCCTAGGTCCTGTATCTGAATTTGGGACAAGGTGAATACCATATCTTCTCTATAATGAGTTGAGCAAGAAATAGGTAAGTGTAATTGCTATAGCCTGTGTCAAGTGAAATGTCCTAAATGATGTGCATGCAGTATGAATATTTATTGAAACTTATTATGCAAGTATGTACATATTGACTTGAAAGTGATTACAAGACTTCCAGTTACCGCAGTAATTGGTCATGTACACATGTACAGGTGTAACAGTGATGAAGTGTTTGAGTCTGTTGGTGTCAATGATAGTCCAATAGCCTACTCATACATTAGACAAAAAACTTAAAGTTGTTGAGGAATTCCCTCTATTTTTAGTGTCTGTATCTGCTTGATGTAAGTGTCTATCCACTCCTGGTTAATTTTCAATGAACATGGGTGCAAAAATTGGGATAATAATGTTGATTATTAAAGGAGTCTGCATCATTCATGGCCTGCTTAACACAGGTCTTACAATAAAAAAATCTAGTGGGACAAACAGGAAAAAATCAATGGGGTTTTTTTCTTAACGTTGAGTCATGTTCATTTACAATTTACATTATATAGTCATCTCAAGTAATTATGTAAAGGCACATCTCAAAATGAAAGAATAATGATTTATTGCAAGGTAATAACACTCCCATAAGTGACCAAAACAAAATTTCTCCTTACAATACTAATTAAATATCAACCAGATAAGTGACAAGAATAAAAAAAAAATTTAAATTTGGGGATAATTAGTTGATCCAATACTAAATTCTCTGAACTAACATTATAAGAATTGTATGGTTGACAGTAAGGAGAATAACAAATTTTATCTGGGAGTTTAAGGGTTAAGCTCCAGAATTAAGTGTACACCTAACCAGTCACCTGCAGAAAAACCTATTTGGCTGTAAAAAAAATCACTTATTTATAACTGGTTCAGGATAATCAGCAATGGAGACATTCTCATTATCCTCAGTTTCAAACAATAAAATTGGTGCTTCTGAGAATTTATCGTAAACTAGTGATAATGAGCCACAGGGATAACTGGTATTGGATAATCAGTGATGTAAATATTCTTAAAATCCTCTTTTTCTTTAAGGATAGCTGGTGTTTCCAAGTTATACAATATGATGATTAAAATCATGTTATTCAATGCATAAGGTGCTGAATTCTGACATGATTTTGACAGTAATTCTCATCATTTACCTTGGGTGGATATTTGGTGTATCAGCAGTTATCTGTGTAAAGGAAATTATAATTCTGAGCTGTACAAAAATAATCATTATGATTTCTTTGTAAGTTACTTGGTAAATGTGTAAATGTGTGTGAACTACTTAACAGTGTCAATATTTGCACTCACTTTTCTGCAAGTTTAACAAATTGAAAACCAGAAGACAGACAGCTACTTTAAGTGGGTTTATATTAAAAATTTAGCTTAAGGAGGGATGAGAGAAGTAGTCATTTAGTGAGGAAGGACTCTGAATTTTAAGCTGGCCACTTTTTTTGAAAATACTGCTTAATGATTAATAGTGATAATAGGATGGAGTGGAGTCCAATTTGGTCTGTGATTATAAGAGTGATCAACAAACTCGGATGACTGTGAAGTGGGAGTCCGACATGTCAATCACTTGTAAGATTACTGACAGAATTGGACAACACAAAGTCCTGTTAGCAGTTAATCATAACCATTACAATTTCTGGAAAAAGTACATTTAGGGCAAACATCTCCAGTTGGGACAATGTCTAAAGCAAAAATTTGGAAATTTCCTGGTTTTTTTTTTTTTCCCTTTTTTTTCCTCAGGGTAGGTGGTTGTTGCTATAGTAATTGTGATCAATTCTGTGATTGGTGCATTTAGCTGAGTGGACTAAGTATGATTGGCTGCTTCAACTGTTGGATTACAGCTGTCTGATTACAGCCAACTGTCTGATTACAACTGTACAGAGTGATTAGTGATATATAAAGCAGCTAATGCAATAACCACATTTGAGGAAATTGTAGTGGTTAAGATTAATCTGGTTACAGTCTCTCTTCTTACCCCTAGGTCCTGTATCTGAATTTGGGACAAGGTGAATGCCATATCTTCTCTATAATGAGTTAAGCAAGAAATAGGTAAGTGTAATTGCTATAGCCTGTGTCAAGTGTAATGTCCTAAATGATGTGCATGCAGTATGAATATTCATTGAAACTTATTATGCAAGTATGTACATATTGACTTAACAATGAACACAAGACTTCCAGTTACCATAGTAATTGGTCATGTACACATATACAGGTGTAACAGTGATGGAGTGTCTGTGTATGTGGGTGTCAATGATAGTCCAATAGCCAACCTATACATTAGACAAAAAACTTAAAGTTGTTGAGGAATTCCCTCCATTGTTGGTGTCTGTATCTGCTTGATGTAAGTGTCTATCCATTCCTGGTTAGTTTACAATGAACATGGGTGTGAAAATTGGGATTAGAATGTTTCTTATTAAAGGTGTCTGCATCATTCATGGCCAGCTTAACACAGGTCTTACAATAAAAAATTCTAGTAGAACAAACAGGAAAAAATCAATGGGGTTTTTTTCTTAATCTTAAGTCATGTTCATTTACAATTTACATTATATAGTCATCTCAAGTAATTATGTAAAGGTACATCTCAAAATGAACGAACAATGATTTATTACAAGGTAATAACACTCCCATGAGTGACCAAGACAAAATTTCTCCTTACAATACTAATAAAATATCAACCAAATAAGTGATTAGAGTAAAGAAAATATCAATTCAATACTGAATTCTCTGAACTAACATTACAAGAATTGCATGGTTGATAGTAAGGAGAATAACAAATTTGTTATGGGAGTTAAAGGGTTAAGCTCCAGAATTAAGTGTACACCTAGCCAGTCACCTGCAGAAAAACCTATTTGGCTGTAAAAAAAAATCACTTATTCATAACTGGTTGAGAATAATCAGCAATAGAGACATTCTCAGTATCCTCGGTTTCAAACAATAAAATTGGTGCTTCTGAGAATTTATAGTAAACTAGTGATAATGAGCCACATGAGGATAACTGATATTGGATAATCAGTGATGTAAATATTCTTAAAATCCTCTTTTTCTTTAAGGATAGCTGGTGTTTCCAAGTTATACGGTATGATGATTAAAAGCATGTCATGCAATGCACAAGGTGCTGAATTCTGACATGATTATGACAGTAATTCTCATCATTTACCTTGGGTGGATATTTGGTGTATCATCAGTCATCTGTGTAAAGGAAATTATAATTCAGAGCTTTACAAAAATAATAATTATAATTTATTTGTTAGTTACGTGGTAAATGTGTGTGTGAACTACTTTACAGTGTCAATATTTGCACTCACTTTTCTGCAAGTTTAACAAATTGAAAACCAGAAGACAGACAGCTACTTTAAGTGGGTTTATATTAAAAATTTAGCTTAAGGAGGGATGAGAGAAGTAGTCATTTAGTGAGGAAGGACTCTGAATTGTAAGCTGGCCATCTTTTTTGATAATACTGCTTAATGATTAATAGTGATAATAGATAATAGAACAGAGTGGAGTCCAATTGGTCTGTGATCATATGAGTGATTAACAAACTTGGATAACTAGGAAGCAGGAGTCTGACATGTCAATCACTTGTAAGATTACTGAAGGAATTGGACAACACAAAGTCCTGTTAGCAGTTAATCATAACCATTACAATTTTTGGAAAAAGTACATTTAGGACAAACATCTCCATTAGGGACAATGTCTAAAGCAAAAAATTTGGAAATTTGCAAGTGTTTTTTTTTTCAGGGTAAGTGGTTGTTGCTCTAGTTATTGTGATCAATTCTGTGATTGGTAGATTTCGCTGAGTGGACTAAGTATGATTGGCTGCTTCAACTGTTGGATTACAGCTGTCTGATTATAAGCAACAGTCTGATTACAACTGTACAGAGTGATTAATGATACATAAAGCAGCTGATGCCTCAATCACATTTGAGGAATTTGTAATGGTTATGATTAATCTAGTTACAGTCTTTTTTCTTACCCCTAGGTCCTGCATCTGAATTTGGGACAAGATGAATGCCATATCTTCTCTATAATTAGTTGAGCAAGAAATAGGTAAGTGTAATTGCTATAGCCTGTGTCAAGTGAAATGTCCTAAATGATGTGCATACAGTATGAATATTCATTGAAACTTATTATGCAAGTATGTACATATTGACTTGACAGTGATTACAAGACTTCCAGTTACCGCAGTAATTGGTTGTGTACACATGTACAGGTGTAACAGTGATGAAGTGTTTGAATATGTTGGTGTCAATGATAGTCCAATAGCCTACTCATACATTAGACAAAAAACTTAAAAACAGGACAAACAGGAAAAAATAAATGGGGTTTTTTTCTTAACCTTAAGTCATGTTCATTTGTAATTTATATTATATAGTCATCTCAAGTAATTATGTAAAGGTACATCTCAAAATGAAAGAACAATGATTTATTACAAGGTAATAACACTCCCATGAGTGACCAAGACAGAATTTCTCCTTACAATACTGATTAAATATCAATCAGATAAGTGATTAGAGTAAAGAAAATATCAATTTGGGGATAATTAGTTGATCCAATGCTGAATTCTCTGAACTAACATTATAAGAATTGTATAATTGACAGTAAGGAGAATAACAAATTTGTTATGGGAGTTAAAGGGTTAAGCTCTCGAATTAAGTGTACACATAGCCAGTCACTTGCAGAAAAACCTATTTGGCTGTAAAAAAATCACTTATTCACAACTGGTTCAGGATAATCAGCAATGGAGAAATTCTTAGTATCCTCAGTTTCAAACAATAAAATTGGTGCTTCTGAGAATTTATAGTAAACTAGTGATAATGAGCCACATGAGGATAACTGATATTGGATAATCAGTGATGTAAATATTCTTAAATTCCTCTTTTTCTTTAAGGATAGCTGGTGTTTCCAAGTATATACAGTATGATGATTAAAATCATGTTATGCAATGCACAAGGTGCTGAATTCTAACATTAGTATCACAGTAATTCTCATCATTTACCTTGGGTGGATATTTGGTGTATCAGCAGTTATCTGTGTAAAGGAAATTATAATTCAGTGCTGTACAAACATTATTATAATTTCTTTGTTGCTTGATAAATGTGTGTGTGAACTACTTAACAGTGTCAATATTTGCATTCACTTTTCTGCAAGTTTAACAAATTGAAAACCAGAAGACAGACAGCTACTTTAAGTGGGTTTATATTAAAAATTTGTCCTAGGGAGGGATGAGAGAAGTAGTCATTTAGTGAGGAAGGACTCTGACCTACCTACCTTGGCAATCCCGCGCCATTGCTTTAAATCAATATATTCTCGAAGCGTAGAGATAAGAAAATTTCTCAAACATGGTTTGTGTGATTGTGATCTAATACCTAAGTTTCTTACTTGTTGCTTCGATTTCCTTTACTGTTCAAGTGCTGGTCAACCACTTAATAGTCATAATGGCGGCTTGGCTCAAGGCGAAAGTTGTTAACGATGAATTTAACATCTACATATTTCTCTCCGTTTCTTATGCGTTATAGAGCAAGTCTATACGATGTTAATGGTTTTTAACTCAGCCTTAACCACTCAATGCTCAGTGTTTTCATTATTTATTTAAACGTTTTCCAGGAAAATAGCGCTAAATATCGGTAACTAAGAGCATAATTCCTTGCTTTCTCCTTGGCATTCTTTCTCAGACGGGCCGTAAGGCTGCGAGATTCGCGGACTACTAAAGAATGTATTGTTAAAATGCGAAATTTTCTTACCTTAGGTGCGGTCTCAATTAAGCTTGAGGTCGGTTTGTGTGTAAAAGCGGTTTTTGCATGAGTGGTGTAGTATGTGATTGAGGCAACTATTGGAACCAGGTGAGTCCCTGGCTGAGGCCCTTTGAAAATTTATTTATGGTTGGCTGAGTTTTGATGGAGGATCAGAAAAACAGTGGGCACAGAGGACCAGAGGAACAGTGGCACAGAGGACCAGTGGAATAGTGGGAACAGAGATCCAGAGGAACAGTGGGCACTTGGGCCAGTGGAACAGTGGGTACAGAGAACCAGTGGAACAGTGGGAACAGAGGACCAGAGGAACAGTGGACCAGAGGAACAGTGGGCACTTGGGCCAGTGGAACAGTGGGTACAGAGAACCAGTGGAGCAGTGGGTACAGAGGACCAGTGGGTACAAAGGACCAGAAGAACAGTGGGTACAGAGGACCAGAGGAACAGCGAGACCAGAAGAACAGTGGGCACAGAGGACCAGTGGGTACAGAGGACCAGAGGAACATTGGGAACAGAGGAATAGTGGGAACAGAGGAATAGTGGGAACAGAGGAATAGTGGGAACAGAGGAATAGTGGGAACAGAGGGATAGTGGGAACAGAGGAATAGTGGGAACAGAGGAATAATGGGCACAGAGGACCAGAGGACCAGTGGGTACAGAGGACCAGAGGAACAGTGGGCACAGAGGACCAGTGGGTACAGAGAACCAGTGGAGCAGTGGGTACAGAGAACCAGTGGAGCAGTGGGTACAGAGGACCAGTGGGTACAGAGGACCAGAGGAACAGCAAGACCAGAGGACCAGTGAGTACAAAGGACCAGAGGAACAGTGGGAATAGAAGAATAGTGGGAACAGAGGAACTGTGGGCACAGAGGACCAGTTAGTACAGAGGGACAGTGGGCACAGAGGACCAGAGGAACAGTGGATACAGAGGACTAAAGGAACAGTGGGTATAGAGGACCAAAGGAACAGTGGGCACAGAGGAACAGAGGGAACAGAGGAACAGTGGGTACAAAAGACCAGGGGAACAGTGGGTACAGAAGACCAGAGAAAAAGTGAGTACAGAGGACCAGAGGAAGTTTGGGTGTAGAGGAATGGGAGAACAGTGGGGAACATGGGAAAAAAGGATCGGAAAGAAGCCCCGATTATTAAGTTGCGAAGGTTGATATATTTAGTTATTTGCCATGTTGTCGTTTGAGTTTTATTTGTGAGAAAAGTAAATTGTAAGAGCTATTCTTAGGTTAAATGAATTTTAAATATTGATATTAATGTTTGAGTACATTATAGTCCCATATAAAAATTGAATTAAAGAGTTGCGGCTAATATAACTATTTTTAAAACCTTTTCTCAAGTTTCAAGAAAAAATTATCGAGAACTTGTAATATGTTACAGCTTAATATAGCAACAAGATCTATTCATTTTCGAAGTGACTGTTTGTCTTATGCGCAACAATAACAAAAATTCAACAAAGCTTTAAAAAATTTATGGCATTCCTCAGCACGTTTGATGGTGTTCACTTCTTTGAGGAACATAGTTCAATTTGTCTTTTCAATAACGCAGCCTTACGGTCAGTTTGAGAAAGAATACAAAGGAGAAAGTAAGGAATTACGCTCTTAGTTAGCGATATTTAGCGCTATTTTTGTTCCTGAAAAACGTTTATATAAATAATGAAAACACTGAGCATTGAATGGTTAAGGCTGAGTTAAAAACCATTAACATCGTATAAACTTGTTCTATAACGCATAAAAAACGACAAAGAACTCCTCCCTCGTCAGTGCTCCCTCTCGTGACGGTTCTCCTTTCATATGGAGGTAGGCTTGCGAGGTATGCTTTTTCAAGTTTTGGAAATCATACTTTCGCCGTTTACGTGGTGCGCCGCACTCAATATTTGCTCGTTTTTCTTTCTTCTTTACTTCTTCGCCTATCTTTTCTTCTGGTTCCGAGAGATAATTTTCTCGACAGACGTAGTCGTAGTACCCACAACCAGCAGCATTAAATGATATAAACAACGAAGGCATACCATGTAACTGTTGACGTGGCAGTATAGGAATAGTTGGGAAGTTTTCCAGAGATGAAAAGATCACAATTGGCATTTTTAAGACGTTAGCCATGGCTAGAACCATAAGATTTCCCAGCTCTCCAGTAAAATAACCACGATGGGATCGTTTTCAAATTGTCAGTGGTTACCACTGGTCCTCTGTACCCACTGGTTCTGTGGTCCTCTGTTCCCACTGTTCCTCTGTACCCACTGGTTCTCTGGTCCTCTGTACCCTCTGGTCCTCTGTACCCTCTGGTCCTCATTGTCCACTGTTCCTCTGGTCCTCTGGTCCTCTGTGCCCATTTTACCACTGGTCCTCTGTTCCTACTATTCCTCTGTTCCCCCTGTTCCACTGGTCCTCTGTACCTACTGGTCCACCGTGCCCACTGTTCACTGATCCTCTGTAACCACTCGCTTTACCCTTCTGCTACATCTATCAGTTAATTATTAGTTATTTCAGAACCCGGTATATGAGAAACTACCTCAGGTTCCGAAGGTAACTGTGTTCAGCAGTGGTTCAAAACCCTCGAAATATCTCTACATCATCGTGATGTTTTAAGTACGGAAAGTCATCGTTGGCCACGGTAGCGCTTAAAAGCAAAAGATTAAAGAAAAATAGGAACCTTTCCTAAGTATTAAGTGGAAATGGAATGATAAATAATAAAGCAAGGATCATTCACTGGCTTCGCAGAAGCGTGGTCGTGTGTGTCAGTTAATTTTAGGGTTGCTTTTAGTTTCTTTTTCTTTTTTTAAGTGCGCTTTGTGCCGCTTGAGGTGCAATTATGTAATGTTTTGGTCAGCATCAAGTTAGTTTTTGGATGCGAACGGTATAAATGGCCCGCTTGTAAACCTCGCCAAAATACATGTGCAATTGTTAAAAACATTTTTGGATTGCCCCTTATCGGCTTCCGTAATCCCTATGGAGGGGTAGAATCACTTAAAAAAAAATCGATACTAGCCCTAACAATTGACGTTGTATGGTAGCGATTTATACTTATCACAAACGATAGGTGGTAACACTGGCGATCGACATTGTTACAATTGCTGTATTTTAAGAACAACACAAGTGATGAAGGGTCAACACCATCGATTGTTACGAGAAACTGCGATTGATATTTAGTGCTATCGATCTGCCTCAGAACACCAAACAAGGAGATTAAATTGTAGGTGAAAGTCTGTGACTTTTTAAATACGACAGGTTGCCCAATAATTTTTTAAGTAATTTTTGATGACTTCATCCGGAAATTGAAACTATTTATAATGGAACAATTTTAATAATGAGTGGGCGACTGTTTATGTTAAAGCGAGATCTAGAATTTATAATAAGAATAAGAAAGTCAGCTTCGATGTACTGCTCTTTGGGTAGTCCAACCATCAATGTCTGTTAATTAAGACTAGAAGAGAATTATTGACCAAAAAAAAGCCCTTAATTTTGAGGTTTATTTATACGGATATGACATGAACTGTCATAAGTTAAAAGGGTACGATCTCCATGTTTCCAAATCTAGGTTTATCAGAGCGTATTGTAGGTATAACAACAAATGGAGGCTGATTGAAGACCACAGAAAAACATAAGAAAGATATCTAGTGGCAATGGGGAACGTTTGTTTTTTCGGTGGTCGCTCGCTTCTCCCATGAACGCCGCTGGTTTTGCAGTTTTGCCATTGTTGTACTCAGGAATTTTCCCTGGGACAAATCCCTTTCAAGTAGTAAAATGTTTTCGAAGCAGGAGTTAATCTTGCAAGTGTAGCTTTTTTATGCTGTGAAACTTTCTGGGTCTGACTTCCTTCACTAAAGTAGTATTTTCCGTCGATGACTCAGTGTCTCCTGTGACGCGAATGTTTTTCTCCGTATGACAAAGGGATTGCAACATCTCTAAAAGGGCAAAAATCTGTGCTAAACAGATGATGGTTGGGGTTTGATCGCCCACGCAAATACAACAGGTGGTGGCGAAGTCACTCTCCACTTCGTCTATGTTCTTTCCAATATTACCAATCTGACAGACACTTCTTAGCTGGGCCACAGCATCGTAGAGCTGTGATGCTTTATCTAACAGGAAAAAATTGTAATATTACACTCCATTGTCAACATGCAAATTCTCCCATCCCAGTGGTACTAGTGGGGTGACTGTCCATGATTGAAGACAATTTATCTTTGGTGTAACTTTCTTTATTACCTCTACGTGTTCTTATACTGCGCGAAGAAATTTGATACTGATCATACCCCGGTATTTCTCAAATGTAGTTCTTACCCTCTAGTTCAATTTTCAGTCTTTGATTTTCTTGCTTCAGTAATTCTTCGTTCTTTTTCAGCCCTTTTATAACCTCTCCTGGACCATGAGCATTTTCGTTTGGATGCAGAGCAATAGAACACCAGTACTGTGATCTTAATGCTTGACGGTGATGGCTGGTTATCTAAGTGTTACGTAACTTCTTGGCGATGTACTGCACCCTGTTGTACACGGCGGTGCCAAGGCGAGTGCGAGAGGAGGACGACAATTTATACCCGGCGATTCTGGACAAGTTGTCATGTGGAGCTCAAATAATTGACTGGGATTGCGAAGGCTCCTCCATTCCCAAAAAGCCTCTCCATTCAGTCGCACATAGAACAAGGGATTGTAACTGTTTAATAATGGCACAGACATGAATAAGAGAGCGCTGAAGAGAGCTCCCGATCAACGCGTTGCATTTCTTGCACGGAGCACATTTTCAGTATATCACAGAACTTGAACTTTTCTCAAGCGTTTTTGCGGCACATTTGCTGTGGCAGGTGATGGTGTTTATGTAAATTAGATCTCAATGGGCGACAATAATATGACTCGGTTACGCGTTGTCAATGGTTACGCATAAACAAACCTGTCGGTTTTAACCATGTTTATTAAACATGTTATGAAAAGTTCTTTCCGTGTGTTTTAGCGACATAGCAATTCCCATGATTATTGGAGTTGTTTTTATTTTGTGTCGTGAACATGATCGACGCGTTACGAGATTTTTCTTCAGAATAAATATCTAGAAGTAGGAAACAAAACTTGTTAACATTTCACTACGATTTCAAAGTTTACAAAGTTCTTGTGTGGTAGCGTTTCGTTTTGACGTGGAGATGGAGGTTACAATACAATATACTCGCGGGAGTTTTGAAAGAAGTCAGTTCTGTTCTCATAGGGTTCACCTGTGGCAAAAACAAGAGAGAGATTAGAAGTCGTTTCAGAAATTCTGGCAAAGCCAGAACTTTCAACCGTCAAAACCATGCAAAGGTTTGTGTAACGCTTCAATGGAAACTTAACTGTCATTACCACATGCTAAAACAGAGGTTGTGGTATTAGCTCGAGAGAAATCCAGCCTTGATGTGAATCAAAAGAGTCTTAAGCAAATTCCCACACTCACTGGTGACTAAAATAGCCAAATTTTAAATAAAAATAGCCAGGGGTTAAAGAAGGTACAAAAAGGCGAGAATGAAAAAGTATTTTTTGTATTGATTCCTCTTCTATAAAAGCCATATGCCAAAAGTAATATAGGAAATGTTGCGTAGTTTGGACGAAATCAAAAAATACATAAGCCCACTTGGACATTTTCGGATTAATTTCTCTTTTGTTTTAAGCCCGCTTCGTTAGTCAACTTTCAAATTTACCGCTGGCGGCGCAGTTAATGTCGGATATGTCGTTGCATTCTGGGCAATGACAGGTATTGGATATAAGATTATACACGAACCCTTTCTTTTTTCCTGTTACCTATTTCTCTGGCACGAGCACATACTCGGATTTGGCCGCACCGACATCGACAACAAGCCCGGAAGGTTACGCTGTCTGCGCCGTGTTTGTGTGGGTAGCAACAATAACTATGGGGACATCGCATTTGCTAAACGATTTGCGCAAATGGGTTGGATCGTGAACATTAGATTAGCCTACGTGTAGCCGTACCCAACTCCTTAAGGTGAAACGGAAGAGAGGGTTCCTTCCCTTCCGTTTCACCTTGGGGGGAAGGGTACGGCTACACGTAGGCCAACATTGGATGGTCTTTCTCATATGCACCGCGGCATATTCCTGATAATAATGTGCGCGACATTACGAACCAAACTCAGGCCTATCGGATTGGCGACTACTACTGGCATGAACAATTTCCTGGGAAAAACAAGGATCTGACTAGAACTTTGTTCATTGTGACAGCTGAGTGCCTCCCTTGCTTGCGGGGGACCGAGTGGTGTAATCTACAAAGTGTCTTTATCTGTGTTCAGCGAGGTGTAATTCTGTGGGATGAAACAGCAGTATACAGCTTCAACTTCCCACATATGACCTATCCTCTTATAAATCAAATTACTTAGAGTTTAGAATATTCCATGTTTAGAAAAGCGTTTGAAAGAGGAATAGATTAAAAAACACTTCTGAACAATACTGAGTGGGACAGTGTAGGCCCTAGAGCCTTTAGCTCTCAATGTATGTCAGAAAACGACCGGAAAACCAACTGAAGAACAACTCGATGAAGTCAGCATTCTGTAAAATTTTTTTTGTGGTGTTTGATGGATGACACAATTTTAACTACTGCTCATAAAGTGGCTACAGATGAGTCTGTAGATGCCATTTGCAAGGTTTTCCCAATCGGCCCTCGTATGCCCATCCCTTACAGAGCAAGATGGTGGGGAAAACGCCTTGAGAACGAAGATAAGTTCTCTCTTCCCCAAAGGAAACAGAAATCTGAACGAAAATCATCGGTTTTGAAAACTGAACCTTTGTTGGGGAAGGTGGGTTGGTGGGTTGTCTAGGTTGACTAACTCTGGTGCCTTTCCGTGATGAAAACAGAGGACTAGGACCAGCTTTTTCTATTAATGCCCAGATCTCCGCGCGGTCAATCTAAGCTTCACTTAACGGATGATGTGGCGTGACAATCAAGGAACTGACTTATGACTTTATTTTCGTTGAGAATTTGGAGAACAACCCTGGTGGTTGCAAGGAACACTGAAACAAGCAGAGGCTTTGGTGTGTTTACAGCCATGCTGCGTAAAGAGGATGTTGCTTCCATGAGAAGAAACTATGAAATGCCCGATGGCTTCGATGAATCTCATCTTGTGGCAAAGGAACCTTTTATGCAATTCGATGCGTGGTTCAGAGAAGCTTCCAAAAGTCCTAATATCGGAGAGGCAAATGCCATGATTCTATCCACATGCGGAAGGTTTGTGGTGATTTTTCTCATCTTTTCAATTACTTTTAATGTATTCTTTAGCATCACCCGGTACCTCTTACATAGCATTATTGTCATGATGTTCGCCATATTGGATTATCAACCGTTTCAGCGGGGAAAGAGTTTCCTTCTCAAACTACTGTTTCTTCTGCAGGGACTGTCGTCCTACAGCAAGAGTGGTGTTGTTAAAAGGCTATGATAACACAGGATTCACTTTCTTCACTAATTATAACAGCTCAAAAGCAGGACAATTGGTGAGCTTACCGTATTATGTAATCATGGTTATGTAATGCTTTCAATCTTACAACTGAAGCAACATTCACATTATTGGAAGCACGGGTGTCGCTGAGATGTTTTTCGAATTTCAAAACTAGATACATACAATCTATGCTGATCATTCTGGATACTTCTTTTGTTTACATGTTTGTGTAAAGAGGGAGGGGAGGGTTGGGAGAGTCAAACTCTCAAGGGACGTTGCATTGATGCAAGGTACTGAACTTCACTTTTATTTTAATGATAAGCTGAATTATACTTTTATTTTGATTGGTTCTTTCTTATAATCCATTGGAGGACAGATGCATTGATGATGCCACCATTGACAAAATTTTATGTTTAATTTATATGAATTAAAAAGATTCCAAGTTGCAGTGGTCTTGCTCAGTAATAGATCACAAAAGTTTTCAAGCTGTGGTAAGAACGTTAGTGACACTCAGCTATACCACATTTTAGTGTCATGCTCGATTTATCACAGAACAGATACATGGCAATATTTGAGTAAGGGTGCCGGTCACAACTGTTATCTCAACATAGAGTAAAGTGTTGAGGGTCAAATGCAAGTATCTTAAAGCAATCAAGGTATCAGGTTGATTATTGGTGCAAATAAAACAGCCAACCTAAATATTACTGGATAGGTTCATCTTTACTGCGTATTAAACACATTAAGCAAGAGAACCAGCCGAAACTTCACCGACAGAACCACTAATAGTACACTTTGTTCATGCACTGTCACCTACATCAGTATGTGTATGTCCATATCACCATTTGCCCACTCAGTTCTAGCTAGTCCAGTGAATACAAACCCAGTTTGCAGTCCACTGCTAATCTGACCTGCACTTGTCAGCTCTCCCATACACATGGAATGAAAGTTAAGAAGATGTACCATCTCAATCAAGTCACATCTTTCACAGTGATTTCAAATTTTTAATACAACATCACAATCTCAGGCTGGAGTCTTACATGCAAAAAATGTGTGAAGGTTTTGTTGTCAGCCATCTACCTCTGAGCCGTTCTGTAACCAATGAGAGGATGGTATTTACTCTAGAAGAACCAAAAGATAGGTATGAACTTGGATACTATGGCTAACTTCTGTTCTTTTTTTCAGAAAGAAAACCCTTATGCTTCATTATTATTTTATTGGGACCCTTTGCACCGACAGGTAAAACTGTAATCTTTTGTTTATGCATTGTTTTACTTTCCTCTCAACTTCAAGAACATCATGTAAACTGCTATATTTTTAATTATCTTATTACTTTTTGTAGTTTGTTTCTTTTCCTTCATTAACAAAGTATTGTAGATGAGATCTAAATCATCTTGTAGCTATCAATGCTTCTATAGCTGATTTGTTAAAGAGGTGAAATTGTTAAAAATCCTTACAGGGAGAAGCAAAGGGGGGCTCCTGGTCACATTTTGTGCAAGAATTTAAGAAAAATTCACATGTCACAGATATACAAGGGGAAAAGTCAAATCTCTTTACCAGTGCACAAGGTTTCAGGGAAATTCTGAGGTAATCATAAACTGAAAGAAAAATTCTTAGGTCACATATATTTTTGGAGGCAAATCACAAATTTGAATAAATCATGCTTGCCTTTCCATAAAGTTCACACATCAAGAATCAATTTTGGTCTTAATCGTGGGTCATGTTTAAACTCTTTGCCACCCTTCAAGGTTGCTTTTTTAAGGGAGGACTGGGAATGGTTACACCTCAGGTAGTTTGAGCAAATTGGAAACATGTTAAATTTCATCTTAACTTTCTTACCTTCCCCTTATTAATGTTTATCTAGGTGAGAGTAGAAGGGAGAGTGGAAAAACTGTCGCAAAAAGAGAGTGAGGAGTATTTTCATTCTCGTCCTCGTTCAAGTCAGATAGGAGCCATTGTCAGTAATCAGAGCTCAGTTATTGCAAGTAGAAAGGTGTGTATTTTCAAATGAATATGATTGACTCAGATTGCTATTACTACTCTGTAATACCATAATCCTAGCATGTTATCTCATATTTTAAAGTTTTTTATTTTTTAAGGGAGATCTGCTCCACATGCCTAACCCTCTCATCCCTAAGAGTAACCAGTATCTAATTTCTGCTCAACAACTAATCACATATGAAGGTCACAAATTCTCCTTTCTAGCACTGAAGGAAATGTATAGAGAATATTATGGAGAATATGCATATTGATGTTAGGGTGTAAATGGTTAAGAAGTTGTTTCTTGTTGTGGAACTCTTATTAATTATGGGATATTCCTGTTAATAAATGAATGTGTGCAAGCATAGGCTCATTGTGTTAGAGGTCTTCATGATTAGGATTTTCATCACCTCTGAGGTACTATGATTATCAGTCAAGCAAGACATGGCAGAAGTTTGGTGACCACATTTCAACATTAAAACTTGTTGGCTGTGTTTCCAGTGGCAAATTGTCATTTACTAAACTTGTCTAGGCGAGTTTTCATGTCTTATATTAGGCAACACATGGCTCTTGAGATTTGGTTAGCCTGCAAACGAAGAAGGTTGCCTGTGACAATACCATTATTTCACTGTAACAGTCAAAACTCCATCATCAAATTTTTTCCACACCTCACTCAACTGATTATTGGCTGTTGGAAATGAAGACTTTGATGATTATTAAGTTTTTAATTAAATCTGCTTTACCTCCTCAATTAGGTTAATTGTTGAGGTAATTTCCAAAACCCAGGGATCTGAGAAGCAAAGTTTGGTTGTCATAAACTTATGTTTTTGTATTCACATTAAATAACATTTTCTGTGGGTACCTGCTCTTATATTATTCACTGTAAATACAAGAACACATTAAGTTTGTGCAGTTTCCTTGTTGGAATTCCACTAGCTTCATTCAACTGACATTAAACTTAAAAGGTGTCCTTTACTCTAAAGTGCAATCAATAATGTTATTTTAAACTACATGCTCTTCATTGTATGTTTACCTATCACCCATTCTTAAACTCTTGAAAACATCATCATGCAGCATGTAAATGAAGATGTCAAACTTTGTTTCTAAAGTGGAGCCAAGTGTTATAGGACTTTTTTGAGAATGCCTCATTTTTAAAGTGGAAAGTGTCAAGGGGGGGGGGAGGAAACACACATTCATATAGTGTCATTACCATTACCATTTTCAGGAAGTGGTGTGTACAGAAACAATAGGAGCAAACAAATCAAAAGGGTGTATAGATGTAGAAGCAAGCACATATCAAACAAAAATGATGATATGGATTAGATAAAGCCAAAATGCAAAGAGGAAAGAAGAAAAAGAACAACTCTTTGATTCTGGTTCTTCTAAATCCTTGATATGTCCATGATTAAGGTTCAAGTCAAGTCAAGGTTCATGGCATCCATTAGGTTTTTCCGTGAAATTAACTAAACATGGTTTAATATTTCTGTGATATACATTATTTAAAGGTTTTGGAAGTAAAGGAGAAGGAACTTAAAGAGCAATATGCTGATGAACAAAAAGTGATTCCAAAACCAGATAATTGGTAAGTGGTCACTTTATAGTGAAGCACATTTACATGGGGTAACAAATCCGATACTTCCAAGAATTTTATTCTTTAGAACAAAAAATATATATTATTTCATAAAGGAGCATGGTATAGTGTTGCAAAGCATTGTCTACTTTCCTTTAAAGCAATACCGGTACTTGTGTTATAAATTAGTTAAATATCACCTAACAGAATTATTGTATTATTTTTTAGGGGTGGTTTTAAAGTAATTCCAGATAAAGTTGAATTCTGGCAAGGGCAATCCAGTAGACTCCATGACAGGATTGTTTTCCGTAAACAAGAAGCAGATGAAGTTCTTGCTGAAAATGTAACAAAGAAAGGAGACAATGGATGGGTCTATGAGAGACTTTCACCTTAAGGGCCACGGCAAGATAAAATTAATATTGTAACAGTTATAGATATTATAAGACTTACACGTACAATGTTATAGTTGAAAAAACTAAAATTTGCTATGTTTTAATTGACTCTGTAAGCTTTTTGTGGAATGTATATTTTTTCCTTTGTATTAAAATGTGCAATATAACTAAGGTACCTTAGCCCCTTCCTAATAAATGTAAGGAGATTCTGTCTAACAGTTGTAGGAATTGCTACTATTGGTCGGAGTGATATCACTATATCTATACAGAAGAAGCCGTCTAGATAATTTTAAAAGAACACTTTTCGTGGATTACTCTTCTCAGTATTAATGTGGTCATATGAGCATGTATTATTTATATATTTGTTGTTAGTGTTCGTTCTCTTTCCCTCTCTTATATGTGTATAGCTTTTATGTTACTGTAGGAAAACAATTAAATTTATTGTGAAGGGCATCTTTTTAGCTTTTATTAAATTATTGTGCCCTTCTCCATTTACTTTATCTAGTTTGTAATTATTCAAAATGTTGTAATTGTTGGAACAGAGGAAATTAAAACTACAGCACAATACAACCAAGTTACTTAGTTGTGTGATGGCCTGTGTTACTTGTTACTGACAGAGGTACATTTTCACATGAACTGTCATTTATTAGTTGTAATCTTCATGGCTTACTGAGTAACTCCAAGACATGGTTTCTACAGTACCTCTCAAAATCAAGTTGGCACCCCTTGCTAGACAAGCATCTTGTCCCAAGAGGCGAGAACCTTGACTAAAGGTGTCACAGCCTTGGCTCGTGATAAGGTAATTGACTATCAGATTCTAGAATTGATAAACATGCAACTTCGTCCTCTGATTCCAAAATGTTACCTTGCAAATAGGTTATGAGAATAGAGAAGCTTAGCAGGCAGAGAATATTTTCTAGATGTAACACCAAATTCTCCTCAGTAATTTCCAAGAAAATGTATAGTAGTCTGCAGGGAGAATTACTGATTCTATATCTTGGGAGTTGAAGGGCAGTAAAACTGAACAGTTATCCCCTACCCCAATGTAGAAAATTTTCTTAGCTCTCTTATCATGTGGGTTAAACTGTGTATTAAAGTTGTGACAAGGAGTGATTAGAATGAGGAAGAGAAGGTAATATTTAAAACAATTTTGTAAATACTTTTAAGATAAAATATCAATAAAAAGTGTTGTAATGGTTTAATGTTTGCCATTTGCAATTTACATTCAAATCTATTGTAATATAATGTAATACAAGGTAAATTTAATAAAGAAAAGTGTTCAGTTCTTGGGTTAAAAAAGAAAATACTAAAAAAGATGCAGATCCTAAAAGCTTACATAAAGTTTTACAGAAAGATCATCTTGTCACATGCATGGGAATTGAACCTCACACCTTAAGATTCCACACATCCAATGTTCTACCAGTGAGCTGCTGTGAACTCTCTGATGAAGCTTAACTACTTTGTTTATGTGTGACATCCATTCTGCGCACCGTAAGGATCAACAATCTTTAATAAACAAGCTGTGTGAGGAAGTAGATTAAGAAACTGAGGTGAAAAAGTTTGAGCTCTATTAAAAAAGGAAATATGTTTTGTCTATTTTTATGTGTGACTGGTACGAACTCTTGATGCTGTGGTTTATCTATGTCAATGCACCCTTCATGATAAATCCTCCCTTAATCCTCTAACTCCCATGATCATGTTAGTAATTCTCCTAACGTCTGCCATACAGTTCTTATGATGTTTGTTTGGAGAATTTGGTATTGGATCATCTTATATTCCCTTAATTTATATTTTTCTTTATTCTCATCACTTTTCTGCTTGATATTGTATTGATATTGTAAGGAGAAATTCTGTCTTGGTCACTCATGGGAGTTAAAAGGGTTAAGGGTTGTCATATCTATTGTAATATAATGTAATACAAATCTTTGTTCAAAAATGTAATACAAGTTTTACAGAAAGATTGTCATAATTGGAGAAAATGTCAGCACTCAATAAAAACATCATTGTGTTCCAAATGGAAAGAAAGATCTCAAACAAGACTGGCATGGATAATCCTATTCCAATTCAACAGACTGGTGAGTTCAAAGTACTTGCAGGCCATATGCTGTTGCATGAGCAAATGAAATTGCTGAAATAGGACTTGGAAGCAACATAAATGATGTCAATGAGAATTGCATGAAACAGTAACACATGTCATGCTTCTTCAAATTATTTGAAGTCCATAAACTTGACATCGCTGAGCAGGAAGAACTTTCTTGGTAGTGGCCTTGGCGCTGGAGACAGCACCACCATCATTTGACGATCTAAATCAACATCATTACTGTAAAGCGGAAAAGATAGTGTTTATTGAATTAGGAACTGTATATATAGTGGATCAATGAAGCATAAAATATGAAACAACAGAAAAAGGCTCTGGGAATGTAAACAAAACAAAATTCTTTCTTATTCTGTAAGCGCTTGTACTAAGGTCTATTGTTTAAAACTAAACTGTGCAATATTAAACAGACACTAAATTCACTGGGTGGGATTGTTCAAATTCTAGTGAAAAGCAATCCAGGTATATAATTTTGTACTTACACCACAACAAATCCTATTGTGTTTGTTGTAACTAAGTCTTCTTCTAGTGATTCAGCAGCACTCAATGCCAACACACAGTGCTTCAAATCACGCCCTGTAAAAATATGGGTTGGAAGAACTCATATCATTTGTTATCAGTCAGTGCTCCTTTCCTCCAGTTTAGACAACTACATTACAATAAATGTTTAGGTACTCACTTCAACCTCACGCCCATTCCATAAGATGGAATGGGCATGAACCCTATTGCAAGTTTGCTCCTTACTAGTTTTCTTAACAAAGGAATTGAAGATTTGGGAGAAAGTGGTTTAAGTAGGGATGAACATGTTTCATTATAAGACAACCCTAAGAAGAGTACAAATAATAAACATATCTAACAAAAATATCACACATTTATTGCACAGTTATTTGAACAGTTGGAGAGTATTTTCATAAATTTGTAGTCCCTAAATTATAGAAAAAGGGACAAACCTAACATCCTGTGAACTTAACTGTACAAGTATAGTGGATTAAGCACATGACAGCAAAAAGTACACTTAAAAAAAGTTACAGGAAAAACAAAGCCATCTCAAGTGGACAAGGTGCCTCAATCATTTCCAGTTTGGTACCTATCATGGTAGTTGCTCTCTGCAATTTCCACAATCTTTATTTCATTTCAATTGATAACACATTTTTGTTAAAACTGTTTCTACTGTAACATACTTTAATCCTTTTACAATGACAAATTTAAATTATGTGACTGTAGACCTTATGATCTGTAATAGTTGTACCTGGTTGAACTGGGACCAGTTTGGTTTCATTCTGATCTGGAGCCATTCCAAGTGGCAGACATGAATCAGGAACAGCAGGAGCTGAAATGTTTCAGAAATGAAAGCAAATGAAACTGGTTAGCAGACAAACTAAAAAGGACAAAAAAAATATTTTCAACCCTTAACACTGGCCAATATCAGTATGCTGATTCTCCTTACTGCTCTTTATACATTTCCTACAGTACTTACATGGAGAATTTGTCTAACAATCAAGAGCTCCTTTCAGTTGTTGATCATTTCCTTTATTCTTGTGACCTTATTGTGTGATAAGTAAGGAAATTCAAAATTAAAATTTACTTACCCCCAATCTTATAGATCTTTATGTCTGCAAATTTGACCTCAAAAATATGTGGATAAAAACTGGAGTTAATTCCATAAAAGTAGTCTCTCACTCTGTTATCTCTTGTCTCTCTACGAGTCTCTGGACTTCTTACCACCACCTACAAGTTAGAGATACAAGGTTTTACTCAGTTTTACTTCAACTCACAGGTAAAATGCACCATATTTTTAAAAGAATTATTGGGGTCATAATTTAAACAATTTCTATAAAGATTAGACAGGTCACTTACCCCGCCAGATTTTGGTAGATGCACAATCTGAACCTTGCTGCCAAACTGCTTCTTTAGATCATTGTAAAGTCTCTCTTGGTCAAGAACAACAATGACATTCACTAAAAGTGAAAAAATCCAAATATAAGCAAAATAACAACCACTGAAAACCTATCACAAGAACCTGTTCAAGGATTAACACACAAGAGCAGTTTTCAATGAGTGTTGGAGAACTAAAACCAAAGTAATCGCAGAAACCAACCAGAACAATGATTACATTATCATTAACCAATAAGAACTCAGAGTGAGAAGAAGCTCCAATACCAATACCAATTCCAACCCAAGAAATTCATCCCTTTTAACCCTTTAACTCCCAAGATCTGATTGTTAATTCTCCCCTCTAGCTGCTACACAATCCCTTGTAAATTAGTTGCAAGAATTTGGTGTTAGATCAAGATAACAACTTCTTACTGATCAGTTTGAATATTCTCATTACCTGCTTACTGGATAATGTACGGATATTATGGGGAGAAGTTACTAGTTAATCACTTCTGAGTGTAAAATGGTTAATCACATCACAACTTTCTATATTTTTCAAGTGATCAAGTTGTGATTGTTTTTAATCTACATTTGCAGCCAAATGTTCAGGAGGCCAGGATGGGGCAAATTCTCTGGACTAAATACAGAATGAAGTTAAGTTAAACCAAATCAGTCCCTGATTACTTTTGAACCTCAATTGAAAATTGTTCTTAAGACAATGCTATAGAAAACAGATTGACTGTTAACCTTCAAATGCTTCAGCAGCATGCACCAGAATTCTATAACCAGTTCCAGTCACCCAGCCACAGGTGTTGATAATACATCCACTGACTCGAGCTGCAACGAGACAAACCCCTTTTGATCGGTTATTGTAACAAGTTGTGCAAGACCTGTATACAATTCAGTCAAATTTCAAGATCAAATCAGTAACTGCACAATAATGCACAGTACCCTTGAATGCATTGGAAACATCAAACCATCTACTTCAGGGAGGCCTGGTTCTCATTGAAAGTAAGCTTGGGTATTTAATACTCATGCAATTGTGAGTAAATATTGCTTTTTGTATCTTTCTTTGATGTAATCATGTTGCCATATATTGATGACCTTGTTGGATTATGGCTGTTTGAAACCATTGCTTTAAACTAAAAGCAAAGCTTATTAATTCAAACTTCTTGTTCAGCTGTTGTGTTTTATAATAAATGCAAGAAAATGAGCTTCTTATCATTTTAGTATTCCAAATTTTGACAACAAGAAAACTTGAAAAAAGTAGCAATTGTCTTCTTGCGTTTTATTTGGCTCACTGAAGAAACACTAGAAGGAGTTCTTTGCAATGAAAATTTGTTTCAAGAAGCTAATAAACAGAAATTAAAGCACCTGCAAAACCAAAGGATTAGATGTCAGCATTTATTGTGCATGTTCATGTACAGTATCTGCACTGGAATAACTGGCTTATTTACTTACTGGTTAACTACATGTACACTGTACTGTACAGGTATGAAGCACACCTACCCTTCTTGTTCTTTTCAAACCTCTCTTTTGTGACTTCAGCTATTTTGCTGGATATCTTGTTGTAAAGCTTTTCACTGGGAGCTGGTGACACGTGACCATAGTGATAAACTAGTGGTGCTTGAAGTGGAAATCCTGAAATTCCCAGAAAACAAGTATTTGCTATAAACTTGTCTGCATAATGTCACAAATTTATCATAACAATTATAGTAAGTCTTGACTGAAACAATCTAAAAATTACAATAGATAATGTTAACCCTTTACACACCAACATCAGTATGCATATTCTCCATACTGTTCTCTATACATTTCCTTGCAAAAATACAGTTACTTACAGGGAGAATTTGTTTAACAATCAGGAGGTTTTTTTAGTTGGTGATCATTTCCTTTATTCTCATGACCTTAACACATGATTCAGGGGTGATATTGTACGTAGAAATTTGATGATGAACACTCTTAAGGGTAAAAAGGTTGATTTAAAAAGGAATACTTCACCTTCTTCAATGTCAGCAGGTCTTTCAATTAAAAGAGCACCTATTCAAAAGAAAGTAAAATTATGTATGTTCATTTGATTCATCAAATTGTTTTCAGAAATCATGTCTCAAAAATCTTGGATCATATAACTTGGGAGAAAATTCAAGCTTCAATTCATGCTCAACAATCATGACACCAAAGACTCAAGATTAACCTTTTCACTGTTGGAGGTTATCTGGTCTGCTACACATATGTTCACTGTCCATAAAATTTCAATGCACAGTCAAGAATCTAAATAAAATGGAAAAGGGTA